GATCTATATTTGTCTCTCGAGGTCCTCTTTGATATCTAGGCTCTCTGGAATTGTTCATTGTAGGCTGATTTTTCTTTACTTTGTGTCTAAAACCACTTATGAGAGAGTACATGTGATACTTGTCTTTCTGGGTCTGGGTTACCTTACTCAACATGATGTTTTCTGATCTATCCATTTGCCTGATAATTTCAAGATGTCTTTTTTTTTCTGCTGTGTAATTCTCCATTGTGTAAACATACCATATCTTCTTTATCCACTCTTCAGTTAAGGGACATTTAGGTAGTTTCCAGGTTCTGCATATGACAAATAATACTACTAAGAACACAGCTAAGCACATGTCCTTCTGGTATGATAGAACATCCTTTGGGTATATACCCAAACATGGTATTGCTGAGTCTTGAGGTAGGTTGTTTCCTAACTTTCTGAGAAATTGCCATTCTGATTTCCAAAGCAGCTGTACCAATTTGTGCTCCCACTAGCAATGTAGGAGTGTTTTCTTTACCCCACAGCCTCTCCAGCATAGGCTGCTTTTGATCTTGGCCATTCTGACAGGTATAAGATAGAATCTCAGAGTTGTTTTGATTTGCATTTTTCTGATGGCTAAGGATGTTGAGCATTTCCTTAAGTGTCTTTCAGCCATTTTAGATTCTTCTGTTGAGAGTTCTATGTTTAGTTTTGTACTCCACTATGTTCTTATGAGCAGTATTTTATTTTCTGGAATCTGCACTATGACTTTTTGTGACATCTTTCACAAGGTGAAAGTTCCTCGTGCACATTTTGTAGTTAATGTCTCTTTAATTTCTAACAGTGTATGTTGCCTTGATTTTTGTGGACTCTTTATTTGTTTGGCCTCTTTCACTCAACATTAGATATATGATTATAGGTCATCCATTCCAAATATTGTAAAGAAGTCTATTGTGTGCACAAAAGTCATTCTGCATGGGAGATATTCTCAGGGGGGGGCTACTATAGAGGAGATTTAGTACTTTGTCCTTTACTGATTCTTTAATCCTCCTTTCTTCTTCCATTCCCTGCTGCCGTATCCCTCATCCTCATCAACCACTCATTTCAAATAACTGCAGGTACGCGAACTTTATGCTCTGTGGAGCGTTAATGGCCAGAAGCTAGGAGGAGACATTTCAGGGACAGGAAGACTCGCTTACAGCCCAAATGGTCAAGAGTCTGAACAGAAACATCCCTGGTGGAACAACAGAAAACAGAGAGCTTATCTTTTATTATGGGACTTCAGGGCAGACATGCTGGCAAGCTATTAAAGCCCAGCCCTTGTCAACTGACACAACATGGGAAAAGAGCCAACGGGAAGCCTCAAGTGTCAAGACAAGGCACAACCTCCATGCCCCCACCCAGGATGCCAAAACAGCAAAATACTTCTTTCTTTAGAAACACTGGGAACTGAGCTTCCCATGAGGAAATTAGAACCATGACAATGGAAAACCAAACTTCAACATCCAACTTTCCACTGTCAAATGTGCATCTGTCCGTCAGTTCTGTATATATGCAGTTATTTCTGTGTAGTTAAACATTTATAACACCTTGGAGTTGACTATCTCTAAAGTTAAGGATATTCATTAATTGTAAATCATCCCAAAACTTAAGTATAGGGCCTCTTGAACCTAATGTGAAAATTTATGTAAAAACAATGTGAAAATTAGAAATGCAATTGACACATTTTTTTAAGTCAGAACTGTAACACTATGTCTAGTCAAACAGACTGCTCATTTGCAAGTTATCTACATGCAAAGCATGGAAGGTTGAGATCTCCTTAGGGAGTCATTTCAAGTTGGGTAACAGCTTTGTTCTGAACCTGCTTTCTGTACTCTCCACTTTGTCTTATCTTTTTCCAGCACTGTGGCAAAGGAAATCAGTGTAGAGATTCCTCAAAAGCTAGGAATAAAATGTCCTTATGTCTTAGCTGATCACTCCTGGGTGGGTATCCAGAGATCACCAAGTCAATGTACCACGGAGACACTGTCACATCCATGGATATTGTAGCACTACACACAAGACCCAAGTTACGAGATCAGTCTCTATCTTATTCTCGGTCTGTCAAGAGAGAAATAGATAAAGAAATGGTGGTATAGTTATGCATTGGACTTTTATTCAGTTGTGAAAAAAAATGGAATAAAATTACATATTTTGCTGAATAATTGATACAAGTAGAGATTAAGCAAAACAATCCATATTCAGAAAGACAAACATCTCATGTTCTCTCATTGAAACTCCTAGAGTCTATAAAGATACATAAAATCACTTATTTATATGACAGAAAAACAGAAGCAGGATTGGGAGAAACAGAGAGAAGGGGGAATTAGGGCCAAAGTTCTTGATCTACTTAAAAGAAAATGCCTTTATGGAACCTGTCACTGTGAAATATATACCAATTAAAATATTGACATATTTGTAGCCATCAAAAAGTCAAAATTAGAAACTTTCTTTATTAGAAATAATATGACCATTCTTACATAATTAAATGAAATAAATACATTTATTTGAAAAAGGAAGAAGAAAGACTCAGAGAAAGAAAATATGTTGTCAGATGACCAGCCCAGCCACAATCTCAGCCACATCAATGAAGCATGTTGCCCTGGTCAGCCCTGGCGTTCAAAGGAGGGAATCTGATGTTAGGTGCTTTAACCTCATAGTACAGCCTTTCTGCTTAGCAGAGATCTACAAATCTAAATCCTTCTAACCTAGGTCTCAAATTTTGCTTGACAAACAAAAAAAATCTGATGAAATAAATAGGCTGTATGGATTAAGGTGTTAGGCTACCTTTTTTGCTTTTACTTAAAGGATTAGGTAAAGCAAGGCAGAGAGGAGGGGGAAATGGTGCTGGTAAGTACACGCAGGCAGCAGCAGGGGGCGCACCCCACTTGCATGCCTTAGGGTAAACTAGGACCAAGTGAGGAAGTGGGGCAGAGGTCAATCAATCAATCCTGGGAGATTCTTGGTGCGGTACAACCAGGAGCGGAAGGAGAGGCCTTCCTGGGAAACCTAGTTAATCATATAGCCACAAGGTGAGGCAGGTAGTGGGAGAGAAGAAAGGATCTCCCAGAAGCTGACTTCTAGACAACTGAATCTCATCTAGGCAATCAGGGGCTGGATTTGGCAGAGCCAATTGCAGCCCACCCACGAGAGAAAGCATTTAGCAACCTAACAGTTGAAAAGAACATTCCCGGGACAGAAGTTATATCAACAAGGAGAAGGAATCAATGGCCAGTTAAGGAAATAGCTCTGATCATGTCAGCAACTCAACCGTAGATTAAAGGGATGGTGTCTGCAGGCCCCAGCTGCTAGGACCTGCGGTTGTTTTCTCTACTGTCTGGTGGTGGTGATAAGAAGGCCATTCTTATCAGTTTCGTGGATGCTCACCTTACTAGACCTGGATGGACGTGGGTAGTCCTTGGACTTCCCACAGGGCAGGGAACCCTGATTGCTCTTTGGGCTGACAAGGGAGGGGGACTAGATTGGGGGAGGGGAGGGAAAGGGGAGGCGGCGGTGGGGAAGAGACAGAAATCTTTAATAAATAAATAAAAATAAATAAAATAGAAAAAAAAAAGAAGAAGAAGGCCATTCTTTTGTTCCTCACAAGCGGTTTCTGAGTGTGAGTAGTCAGACTTCACTATCTGGTACAACTGATGACACAATCAAAGCCCTGACCATTCTTAACATTGATACCATCAGCCTTGAGCTTCACCGAAAACAAAGTCCAGCCCAGATTGGGAGACTCAAAACCTGCATTTTAACAACGCTCCCCACCCACTCGCTTTGCGCACAAGGATCTTGGGCACACTGAATTCTAAGACACTATTTTAAGTTTGTTTTGTTTGTTGTTTGATTCTTTCTTTATTCATTTATTGTTAGGGGGTTTCTTTTCCTGGGGGAGAGACGAAAAAGGCATCTCATTCTGCAGTCCATGTGGCCTTGAACTAAACACCCTCAGGCTTTATTTTCTGCACAGTAATGAGACTACAAATATGTGCTATAACCCATCCTATTCCAATGTTGGGTTTTAAAGACCAGAGAATTGGACTGTTTCTTCTCTGCTTATGTCTGTGTCTTTGCAATATATCTAATTCTGTTCATCTATCACAAAGGTAACTACTTAATATTTTCAACAGCCTTCTAGAATCCCTTTCTTTTACACACACACCAATTCTAATTCCTGACTCTAAGCACAAATAAAGATACTGTCACTTTGACCTAATCCAGAGTTCATCCTTCTAAATAACTGTATTGTCTCTATCTATAAAGCACTCTGTTGCCATGGCAATACATGCATAGTTGCGTGTGTAAGTAATTGAGGACTGCTGCATATGACAGACACTCTCCAGCAGAAAACATCTGTACCTTCAAGTGTTCATCACCCTCCCTAAGTTTTCTTCCCACCCTTTGAAGTCTCTGTAACATACATATGTTTTATGGACACTGTAGTAATACATACAAGAAAGAATGACCATGTGAGAGTTGTTGTAAGAAAGCTGGAAACCTCCTTCAGTCTGTTGTCAATTTGTAATGTAGCTTGGCACAGGGTTATTGGTTTTTGTTTTAATGTAATTTTCAAAGACTCAATCCTCCCTACTTAAAGTGAGAAGAGGAAATAACATGCTTTCCTATACCTCAACCCTTAGAACGCTCGACAATTCAGCGTTTACTTGAATTTTAACTAATTATTCACCAAACCTTCCTGGCATTAAACATTAACATGGCTATTTTATGTGTCCCTGTTCATTATCCTGCCAATAAATGATTAATTATAACTTTCTGTCTTGGCCAGTAGTTTTTCTGGACTTTTATGATTCATTAGTTGTGCTATGTTGGAATTCAGCCTCTCGAAACTGGCTTACTAGCATTTATTGTTTTTTATTGCTTCTCTAGCGTGTCTTTAGAAAGAGACGCTAAGTACCACATGTTTAGAAAGGGTTTAAAAGTTTGACGTGTTAAATAAGGGTTACTCAGGTGGCTGTAGTTACAGAACCAGGGAACAGGTGCTTCTGTGGACTTGGCCATTTGAACAGCACAGTCAAAGATGGATAATCCCTCCGTCTGTCACCCCAATGCAACTGTCTGCGATGGCGAATCCTGCTTAGCACCGGAGAGCAACTTCAATGCCATTCTCAGTGTGGTCATGAGCTCTGTGCTCACCATCCTCCTGGCCTTGGTGATGTTTTCCATGGGTTGCAATGTGGAGATCCACAAGTTCCTGGGACATATAAGACGGCCATGGGGCATCTTCGTGGGCTTCCTCTGTCAGTTTGGAATCATGCCTCTCACAGGCTTCATCCTCTCCGCGGCCTTTGGCATCCTCCCGGTACAAGCTGTGGTGGTACTAATCATGGGTTGTTGTCCTGGAGGGACTGCCTCCAATATCTTGGCCTATTGGGTAGATGGTGACATGGACCTCAGGTAAGACAGAGGCATCTGCAATTCCTGCAGTCTTCTGGGGTTAAGTTTGGAAACCTTTATAATTTCCAATATCTGTTTGATCCGCTGCACTGACTAGATGTCTGACTGAGGAATTAAATGGTAAGAATAACATCTTCTGGGATAGCTGCTTCGCTGTTAGAACTCGGAACTTTCCTTTTGTACCTGTGCATTTTTGTAGTTATCATCCCGAAACAAAACAGTGATTTAGATTTTGTAGCCTTAATAGTTTTAGTTAGCACACAAAGATGGATTTCTGTGTGACATTTGTATACACATATATCATTGTGCTTTGCTCTTAACCACCCCCCATTACCATCCTAGTTCCTCTCTCTCACTCCTGTTAGGACACTTCCCACTTTCCTGTCACAGACCTTCCATTGCCTTCTCTGTCCTTTCCTTGCTTTCGACTCCTGGCTCTACCCTGTTAGTTCACTCTCTACCATGTCCTGTGTCTATATGACTATGTGTGAATGTGTACATTTAAATCTAGATATGCATCTGAGGAAAAGCCTTAGTATCTGTCTTTCTTAGTCTGGATTACTATGCTTGCATCTTGAATTCTAGCTCACTTAATCATAAGTTTTATTATCTCTGGGAATAGACTCCAAGTTTGTTTTTGTTTAATTAAATAATTCTTTTCCAATCTACAACTGTAAAAAAAAAACTGAGAAAGTCTTGTTGTAATGGAATAAGGAGTAACTTTCTTTTTTATAACAAGGAGGTTTGAGTGCAAATATAAGCTCAAACTCTCTGACCAATATCAGCTCCACCAAACTGTCTGTTCTTTGGAGAAAATACTTCTTGGTTACTAATGAAGAATACATAAATTCATTTTATCTCGACGGGCACTAAAAGGAAAAGAATTCTTCATCAGTAATTCTTAATTATGCTTATTTCTCTATAAAATGAAGAAAAAACAATTTCTCTGCTTTTCAACAAAGAAATCTAACTGTACTGTTTGTCCAGTCCAACCTGTATCAGTTTGAACTAGCACTGGGAAGGAGGGAGGAAGATGAAGCATCAATAGCACTAAAGCAGGAGTTTTTAATTCTGAAAATCAGACAGCCAAGTGTCACTTTCCTCATCTCCTGATGAAGACTTGCATTTCAGTTAAGCATTGAGCTGTTCAAGAATCATGTGCTTATTAAATATTGGACAACCTGCTATCAGCTCTGTTAGTTCCTGGCTTCCTGGTGAGCATCAGGGAATGAGCCATCAACTCCCAATTGGCGCTAGTTTCTGATGCCTTAGAAAACAAAGAATATACATTATTCCTTTTGCATAGGGACATGGAATTGCTGCCTAGCAACAAATATTCCTTTTTCTTAAAGAAAAGCCCTGTGAATAACACAGAATCATAAACTCTGTTGACATAGTTAATCTGTGAACTACAATATAGTAATCAGGACTTTTTAGGTTTCTATTCCATTGACCTGCGCGCACATACACACACAAACACAGAGAGAGAGAGAGAGAGAGAGAGAGAGAGAGAGAGAGAGAGAGAGAGAGAGAGAGAGAGAGAAAATTCCAGGAACTCATAATAACCAGACTGTGAGGAGTGACCCTGAGGATTTGACCTACACCAAATGGCTTCTTGATATTTATAAGTTTCAAACAATACAGCCACTACAACCTGTACCTGAACATAATAACGTCACATTACTGCTGAACATAAGATCAGTTGTATATGGTACCATATCAATTCCCTTACATCACTTATGCTGAGTACAAATTACTCAGTAGTATAGCACAGAAGACATTACCATGTTCTACCACACAATGAAAAATGTGTGCTATACCTCTGTCATAGAGAAGTGGTCATGCCTCAATGCAAGATGACATTAGGGACTGGAGAAATGTCTGAGGGACTAAGAGGACTTGTAGCTCTTGCAAATGACCTAAGCTTCATTCCCAGAACCCATATCAGGTGGATTAAAACTATAACTCTAGCTCCAGGGGAGAGTATTACTCTTTTTGGCCTTTGTGAGTACCATATATACAAACTCACAATGGCACAGGCACAAACACATAAATAAATAAAAATAAACAAAACATTAAGTGAATGAATGAATGAATAAAGAAATAAATAGAGAGAGCTTTCTTTTAAAAAAAACAGGTGACATTACACATTCTCTGTTTGGGAAACAATGTTTAAAGATTTTTTTTTAAAGAAAGTGAAGTCTCAGCTACTAAGTAATAGCCCTCTAGAACTTAATTCTTCTGGAGTGAGTGTTGGAAATCTAAGTCTCAAAATGATTTATAGATGCAACCTTATATTCCACTTAGATTTCTAAGTCTGTATTCTCAGGGCATTGCATGCTTCATCTTCACTTGAATTCTAGAAATGTCAGAAATGATAATTTTAAAACAGCTACCTCTATTACTAGAGTTAACCATGCAAAATAGCTCCAAAAACATTGTCATTTTGCTTTGCCTTTCTTGGATGTGGTCCCTGAAAGAAGAAACTATTTACCTGTCCCACATTATCTATTCTCAGAATTTAACAATCTCTAATTACTTAAATGTGTGAATAAATAGAAATAGTTGTCCTTTTTTAGCAGCAATTAGTATTTCAGCTATTTCTCTGATAACCTGAAACCTGGCACATTATTTGATCAGTACACAGAAGTTCTCAGTTAAGCTGTGTCATGGGCATAATGTGCATAAAATATATCAGGGAAAAATTAAGGGAGGCAGACAAGTGAATCTGGTGTCAGCAAAGGTTTATGGCTCAGGAACACTGAGATTTGTTTTCTCCTTTGTCTCTCTGGTCTGTCCCCACACAAAGGTAGATATATGATATCTCCTTAGCGATCGCTTCAGCCACACCATGTAAAAGCTTTCCTTTAGTTTTATTTCATTCTCTTTTTTTCATCTGTCTTATTCTCATTCGTCTTTTCCTCGGTTTCCCCAACTTTTACTGTCTTATATACTCATTACTTTCTAGGTTTTTGTTTAGTGTTTTTTCCAACCATGACCTTTGTCTTTGGGTAATCATTGTATATTTCATATTCCACTTAGCTGTTCATTGATATTTTCAAGATCCATAACCCTCTGACCTGTCAGATCAATGCCTCCTCTTTCAAATACATATACACTCATCTCTTCTCTCTTATTGGAAAGCCAATCCAATCCCACTGGACTCTTTCTTTTATCTTTACTCACATTAAGCAAACTCTGTTGCTTCCATGAAATATTGATTTTATTTTACTAGCTAGTGTTGATTAGATGCTAGTGTTTATCAGACACTTTGAGGCACCAAATACAAAGCTAAATTCTGAAAGAACATTGGTGTATTTTAACTCTCCTATGAATTCTAGGGTCTTCTGCATTGACAGATGAGAAAAATTAAGGTTTATAATCTTTGCCAAGGTCATCAAGTTGGTGAATATAAATGTCAGGTTTGGGATTTAGATGGAAAATATCTGATGGTCTCTTCTTAGCACTTGACTTTTGATTACATCATACCTACCACCTGCACAGTCTACAGACTCAGACACATGTTTGTTGATATTTCAAAGGTAGAGTTTCACTTTTGATGTGATTGTAGTCTTTTGTATTTCTTTATCCTTGATTCCACTCAATTCCTCAACACATACCAACTCTTTAGTTATGAGTTTTATTTCCCCATATTTGTAAATGTTTTCCCTAGCAATTAATAGACTGACATAAGAATTAAAAACAAATTGTATCTTTAATTTTCTAATTCATTAGAGTTTTTATAGTTCCAATGTGCTTTCATGAGTTTTTATATTTCAACATGTATGCCTTTTATAGAACTTAAATTTTTCCATAAAATTCATTTTTGTTTTGTGAAGTTATTATTCTCCTTATTGTGAACCATTTCAACAGTATTTTTGTTCTTGTTATTAGCTCAGATAACATCAAAGTCTAGACCCATCAAGATTCCTCAACATCTCACTGTCAAGTTTCCCACTACACCTAAACCCTTCATTTTCCAACTTCTATCTTTTTCTCTCCCATGAAGTTTAAAAACAAATGGCTCTTCCTCTTCACCATGAGCTGATAAGAATCCTGTTCCCCTGAATTCCTTTCCCACTGTGAGGATATACTATATGGCCAGCCAGTAACAAAGGGTTTTTGTTGGGGAGCAAGTTAATAAAAAGAATGCCAGAATGGTGAAAGAAGGGAGGAGGAACAGATTTGAATATTCCAGTGTTTTAGTTACAAAAATGATAAAGCATGGCTAGTAAATGAACGTTTTTATATATTTGTTGCTTTTCAGTTGCTGATGTTTTTTGACTACCTTAGTTTTCTATGACTACAATTAAATTTATGAAAAATTCTTTATTTCATTTTAGTTAGTGTGTAAAACAACACATTTCATTATGATGTCTCAGTTCATACATTGCCATTGTCCTTCACTAAGATTGGCTCTTCCCAATGCCCTTCCCAAACTCTTGCCTTAGTCCTCCTCTGCCTTCAGGTCATCTTATACCATTGTGTGGCATTTTTCTGAGGAGATATGAATAAGCAGCTACTAATCATAGATAAAACACCAACAATAGAAGCAAAGAGACTATTACATGAAAATCTAGTTTAAGGAAACAATGAGTTTAATTAGGGTTGCCTTTACAGGAACATAGACAACTCATAGTTAGCTACCCTACTAAAGAAAATATCTCTCATTCTCAAACAACCATTGACTATATACATTCTTGGGGAGGCGCACAGCTCTGTGAGCACACATGTCCCAGCCATGATAGAAAGTTAATAGGTCCAATCTTGTGAATGTTTCTTTCTAGTAATCACAGATGCTGACATACAAAAAGGAAATGGCCATAAATGGATATAGATAGATAGATAGATAGATAGATAGATAGATAGATAGATAGATAGATGGATGATAGAGTCAGAGACATTGAAACAGAGACAGACAGATGGGTGGTTGGACAGGGGTGGTTTACAGGGTGGTTCTATATGTGGATGAAAACATATGCTAACTGGTCTATCATTTCTCCTTGCCTTTAGAAAGCCTCTATTGACATAAACATTTTAATCACTTTTTTAAAAGATTGCTAAATGACTTTGTTACTACCCATTATTTTGCCCAAATTATGCAAATTTATTATAGAGCTTTGAGAGAAAGTCATTTCTCTTCATATGCTTACTTTCTTTACAACTTGTTTAGAGGGCGGCATTTACTATAAATACAACTGACTTTCCTTTTGGTATTATTCCAGAAACCAAACTCCACTGACTGTTAATTATTTATAGTGAGGTAACAGTGACAAAGAGAAGCCCAATTAATTCATTACCAAGATCCACACAGTAAGCAACATCACATTCTTCCAACTCAGTATGTGCCTTTGCAGCTCAAGTACTAAGTCCCTCTGTTCTACAAGCAGAGACTGTAACCCTGTGTCCAGGACATTTTGAGGAGGACCAAGAAGACCCCTACTCAAAAGTCTCTCATCCATACTCTGGTACAGTACTGAGAATAGCATCATTTAATTTAACAAATTCCTCCAGATCACAAAACAAAATCTTCCTTCTCAGTCAGGCACCCATAATGAACAAAGTATTTGATGATTTCTTTTTTTAATTATAAACTGGTTGGTTTATTAGCTCAGGCTTCTTATTAACTCTTACATCTTAAATTAGCCCATAAATCTTGTCTGTGTTAGCTATGTGGCTTGGTACCTTTTATCAGTGAGGCATTCTCATATTGCTTCTTCTGTGTTTAGCTTCCTCTGTGAAGACTTCAGAGTGAACCTTTCCTATCCCCAGAATTCTCCTATTCTGGTTTCCCTGCCTATACTTCTTGCCTGGCTACTGGTCAATCAGTGTTTTATTAAAATAATACAAGTGACAGGGTACAAGACCATTGTCCCACAGCACTTACTCCTGTATCTCTTTGCACTCCCTAAGAGGGACTGTCCTACCTTTTTCCATTGTGACACATCATTTTCACCAATAGAGTTCCCATTTAAGAACCACATAACCATTGTAGAAAAATCTTCAAAGAAAAAATTCTCACAGTGCTGTAACTAGGGATATCTCTGTGTTTAGCTGCCTTCGTAGCTGTTCATGTGGGTTGCAGCAGCTTTGCTTCTACTTTTATGTTACACATGCAAGCATGACTTTCTTTTTTTTATTTTTTTTAAATTACCACCTCCTCCCAGCCTCCCATTTCCCTCCCCTTCCTCCCACACCACTCCCCCTCCCCCCACTCCTTTCCCCCATCCCTCTAGCATACAGGTTAAAGAAAGAATATTAAGAGCAGCAAAGGAAAAAGGCCAAGTTACTTATAAAGGTAAAGCTATCAGACTTACACCAGACTTCTCTATGGAAACCATGAAAGCCAGAAGGTCCTGAATAGATGTACTCCAGAAACTAAGAGACCATGAATGCAAGCCCAGACTACTATACCCAGCCAAGCTTTCGTTCACTATTAATGGAGAAAACAAAATTTTCCAGGATAAAAACAAATTTAAACAATACTTAGCCATAAATCCAGCCTTACAGAAAGTAATAGAAGGAAAATCACTAACCAAGGAGTCCAACAATGACCACAATAACTCAGATATCTAGAGACCCTTCACCAGCACAACCCGAAGAAGGGATGCACACAAACTCTACTGCTCATTTCTTATTGTCGACTCAAACAGTGATGTTACATTAACTTTCCTAGGGAAGTTGTGAGCAAACATCTATTCGCCTTGATAAGAGACCAAAGTAAGGATTTCACCCAAGTCCCACTTGTTGAACCAATGAGTTTATCGAACTTACTTAGAAAGCACAGAGAAGAGGTTACTCCTAGAAGTGTCAATAACCCCCCAAACAGATGCATTATCACAAAGTCCAGTCCATCATACTCAGAATCTACCCCTGCATCAACCTTCCATTTCATGCATGCTGTAGAAGCTCCCAATATTACTAGGATATGGGATGGGGCAAAAGGGAATGGGTTTCAGACTGTAATTCTGGGTAGGGTCCTGTGACCCTCCCAACACCCCTACTACAGGAAAATGTCACTACTTCCATTACCATTATCAAGACTACTTAGCATCATACTGTTTGACATATTTCATTGTCATGGCTACTACATCAAGGTAATTTCTATTCCCAGAGAGTCTGGGTTGGTAGGCTGTGCTTAGTGGAAAAAAATCATATACAACAGGTTACAAGCTCAGACACTTGGTACCAACTTCAAAAATTATTTCTATGTATCATTGACTGCCCTCTATGACCTGTGAAAACAGATCCTGAGGGAAGGGTAATGCAAACTACGTGAGAAAACACCAAATACAGATGACCCTGACCAAAGCCAGGCACTTTATAAACATGACCACTATGTATTTCTATCTCCATACAGAATGATGTACTGGTTGAGTCTCACCAAAATTGAAAATGAAAGCACACCTCCCGTAGAAAACACAGGTAGTCACCTCAAGCTGTTTGTTTCATTCCAGTGTTAGCATGACCACTTGCTCCACACTGCTGGCTCTTGGAATGATGCCCCTTTGCCTCTTCCTCTATACCAAGACATGGGTCGACTCAGGGACAATTGTGATTCCTTATGATAGCATCGGTAAGTAATTTCTCTGTGGTATGTTTCATATTATCCTCAAGATCTCTCCTTAGTCCCAATTAGGATCTCAGGCCAAGTTCCAAGCTCACACACATCATTTCCCTTTGACCTAGGGACAAATCTTTTTTCCCATGTATAATTTCATTATGAATTCACTCTGAGTTTGCAGAAATATTAAAAGAATGCAAATTCCAAAACATGACCAAGAAGAGAAACTAAATTTGCCTCAGTTCATAATAACATGGGGGGAAAAACAGTTTTAGGAATGCAGTCTTAACCTAAGAGTCTCCCCCTGAGGATAATTAGGCTGCTGGCAAAAGGGAGCCACCATTTTTCCAGTGGTGGATTTATGGTAATGGGTGGTTGCACCAAATATTCAAATTGAAGAAACACACACACAAGTAAAAACAAACAAATAGCATGTTTTCACGGTAGTTGGTAGTCATGGGTTACAGATGGGGCACTTCTGAGTGAAATATATTATTCTCTATCCTCAACTGTAAGATATAAATGATAAAAAATATAAAAATTGATATAAATGTCAATTTAATGGTATGCTCCATATTTTCATGTCCTAGAAGTCAAATTAGCTAGTCACTATTCTGTCCTTTTTCATTTCAACTTCTAAATGTCTCCCATCTTGAAGAAACTTTTCTGTTTTGGGAAGAAAAGAAATGGTAGAAAATAAAGCATCTGGTATGGCATGAAGTGGGGTCAGGTCCAGACTGAGAGAACTGCCGCATGTGCAAAGCATGCTGTCTCTCAGAACTGCCTTGACAAAAAATGAGCTGTGGAGAATACGGTGCACAACCCTGGTCAGCAGGTATACTGCATGGAAGCCCCTCTCTCTGTTTTAATTTATTATTAATTTTATATCCTAGCTACAGGACTCCCTCATACCTCCCATTCTCTCCTCCACCTCCCTCTGCTCCCCTGCAATCCACACCTCCTCTGTTTCTGTTCAGAAAGGGGCAGGCTGCCCATGGATATCAAATAAGCATGACATATCAAGTTGCCATAAGACTAAGCACCTCCCCTTGTATTTAGACTGGACAAAGCAATCCAGTATGAAGAACAGGTTCCCAAGAGAGAGCCTAAGCATCTGCGACAGCCCCTACTCCCATTGTTGTTAGGAGTCCCACGAATAAACCAAGCTACAGGACTGTCACATATATATTGAAGGACTAAGTGAGTCCCATGCAGCCTCTCTGGTTGTTGGTTCAGATTCTGTGAGTTCTTATAAACCAGGTTAGTTTGTTTCTGTGAGTTTTCTTGAGCCACACACCTTGCCCCCGTGTCTGCGCTCGGTGCGCTGGCACCCAGTTTGCGAGCTTCGGGCAAGGGGGCTGGAGGTTAAAATACACAGACAGAGACACAGCCCCACGGGTCATCCTTCAATTCCCCAAGAATGCCCCCTTTATTGTGTTCAGGGGCAGATTATATAGAGATAGCCACGCCCCAGCCAAACCCACCAGAAACCACTCTCCTGCCATCAGGAACTCCTGAAGGTCTCGTGTGCTCAGAGCAGCTGTAGGAACTCAGATCAGGGGATTAGAAGAAATTCAGGAGCTGAGGTCTCACTGCTCCCAACATTCTTGTGCTGCCTTTGACAGTCTTTTTTATTGATTTTTTTGAGATATTCATTTTTCTCTGTTCCCCTCTCTGCCTCTTCCCTCTCCTTCAACACTCTCCCAAGGTCCCCATGCTCCCAATTTACTCAGGAGATCTTGTCTTTTTCTACTAACCATGTAGATTAGATCTACGTAGGTCTCTCTTAGGCTCCTCATTGTTGTCTAGGTTCTCTGGGATTGTGATTTTCTTAATATAACTTTGCAAAGAATTCTTTCCTAATCTCTCTCTGAAAGGTTTGGGTTTACTCTTAACAGAAATACACATCCAAGGTCAAGCAGAAACTCCCCACGATATTTTTTTTATATTTATTTATTATGTATACAATATTCTGTCTGTGTGTATGTCTGCAGGCCAGGAGAGGGCACCAGACCTCATTACAGATGGTTGTGAGCCACCATGTGGTTGCTGGGAATTGAACTCAGAACCTTTGGAAGAGCAGGCAATGCACTTTACCACTGAGCCATCTCTCCAGGCACCCCGCCCCCACGATATTTTAAAAAGGAATTCTGGTGGGGTGAGAAACTAGACTAAAAGTCACTTCCACTTTAAGGAAAGATTATTTTCATGATCAAATGTGATTCAACCTATAAACAACTGAGTTAGAACAAATATTGTGAGCCCTGACTATGAGACAATCTGTATTGTAGTTTTTCTCACCCCCGCATTAAATGATGAGTTACTCATGATTTCAGTGAGGAATTGGAGTGGCATTTCATTTGTGTTTTAATAAATAAAACATGCCTGAGGATCAGAGAGTAAAATAGCCTCACTGGTCAGCCTTACTGACCGGGAAGTGGTAACACACAACTTTAATCCCAGCAGCCACACTAGTTTGCCAGAGAAGCCGAGCGGCACATTTTTTATAATCCCAATGGTGTTGCCTTTAATTCCAGAACTAGATAGGGTTATCAGATGGGAGGAGACAGTTTTCAGTCTCAGTCTCATTCTGGAGGTAGGATCAGCATTTTGTACTGAGGTCAAGTAAGAGCCAATGGCTGGATGCTTTGATTTTAAGATCTTCAGGTTGAACCCCAATTTATCTCTGTGAGTTTTTATTAATCATGCCTCATGGAATTTTGAATCTAAAAGATACCTCTATTTACCTCTGAGTAACTCCCAAATATCAGTAGAATATTCTTCCATCAGGGTTTAGAGTGACATACGAATCCAAGTATGTATGCCTCTGCTTCCATCTCAAACTCTCCCCTCGGTGAAACTTTCCCTAGATTTGAATATTGCCATCTGTTTCAACACTGAAAAGTGTGGTAGTGTTGGCTAACTAAACAATTTTGATTGGATATTATTTGGTACTAAAGCAAATCATTGAAGCCTTAAAATAATCATCTTTTGATATTCAGTCTCTTCTGGAAAACATCCCGTGGGAGTATAAACAAATCTGAACTACTAAGTGGATGACTTATACCATATAATTTAAGTCAAATATATTTTGAGCTGGGTTTTGCTTTGTTTTATAGCAAGGTATCATAATGTAGTTCTTGCTGTCCCAAAACTTGATATATAGACCAGGTTGGCCTTAAACTCATAGAGATCTTCTTGCCTCTTCCTCTCAAATTCTGTGATTAAAGAAGTCTTCATGGTACCCAGTAAGATAGATAAATTATGAAAAGAGGGGAAAATGAGAAATGGATTAGCATGTCCATGGAAGAATTTTCTCATAATACGTCAAACGAAAGAACATATAGAAGGCCAGAAGATTACAAAAAAAAAAAAAAGAAAGAAAAGGTAAAAAAAAAAGTTTGAACATAAAAATTATTTGTTCACAATGTCTGCCTAGGCTGTTCCCCAAACTGACCTTTTTCCTATTTGTTTTCTAGTCTTAATGAGTGAAAGAGCATGAGCTGACAGCCTCATGAGATATTGTCATCACTTATAAATGAGGTTGTTGAGGCTTGGAGTAATTATTTAATTTGCCCGAGATTACTGCAGACCTGAGAATAGCTACTGGCAGGCTCTCCAGCCTACTCTGCAGGCACTGTGCTTGTGACATCTTCCTCATGGCTCAGTGTGCCTCTCCCACTCTAAAAATGCTGCTGAGCCCTGAAGATGCTGCCATGTGGTTGAAAAGAGGCCCCTCTAAAGTTGAGTCCCTAGAGCTGAACCATGTCAGGTAGCTATAGCAACATAGATGAGTACCTGATGACAACATCCTTGTGCACACTGAGGTAGGCATCATTGCACCCAGTTGTTTTGTAGGAAAACATAAGGAAGCTACAAATTTCAGTCCACCTTTTCATCTTTTCATTTTTTTTCTATTCCCATTGCATAGCCTTAAATAAATAGCATGTGATGGTTTTGATATGTGTAAACATCTCCTTTGGAGTCTGTACAAACAGGCATCTTACACAGATAGCATGGACAATAAATCAGTAATGGGGGAAGCCTGGAGAGGAGAGAGCCAGTTTCCCAGCCCCTGGACAGTAATCATAAAGCCCCTTCCCTCCATGGGCAGGGACCAACCACACTGGTAGGTGTGAAGAAGAACCAGAATGGTCCCTGGAGTAGCTGCGAACCTTCTCTGGCTTTACCTGGCACAGAGATTAAATGCTTCTGTCATGGGTGGTACTAAGCTGTGGACATGTTGCCCTGTCACATTAGGCTCCCCCAAGACAGGAAGACTCCAGGCCAAAGGAGCCAACCAGTTGTATCGGATAATTTTATTTCAAAGTCTGGAAACAATAAAATTCATGGTGTGGCCTAGAGATCCAAGAAAGGAAATCTCTTTAAAATGGTAGGAATAACCAAAGAGACTCCCTAGATTTTCTAGAAGACATGACCAATAAATCCAACAGTCTTTCCCACAGCTCTTCCTCTACCCTTTTCTCCTGAGCTTGAATAGTTCCTATTTTATTGTCCTTAGTTGTTATTTTAATTCTACTGAGTAATTTTGGAGCAACAATAATTTTGATACATTGAAGAATTTGTTATTGGATTTGTTTTAAATGCATATCCATAGTCTGTAGTTTATTGACCAGACCTGAGTCAATCTATCCTACACTAGACAGACATCTACTCTCAAATTTTCAACATTTGATTTTACTTTCTCATACTACTTCAACAGTATTTTGGAAAAGAACCAGTCCATGAGAAGTTGGAAGTCCACAGTGCTCTGTTAAACAAAGGAACTATTGGGCAAAAAAGTGTTAAATAATATAGAGGCACAAATCGTATGTTACAGGAATGGCAGTAAATTTCCCGTGGTGAAATCGAAGTATGACTTTTTTTTATCTGGTTGGGTGAACACGGTGCTATAAAGAATTATAATTACATGAGAGGTTGCCATATATATACTATCACACAGAAATTTAGGGCATGGTTTTTATCTTATTCTCTCACATCTCTGCCATAAATTTGAATAACTGAAGTGAATTTTAAGTGAAGTGTGTTAGCCTTCAAAATTCCAATGGACATTAAGCAATTTATAATATTTTTTCAACTTTAAAATTTATAAGTATTTATTTCTACCACAATGAACGAACTAACAAGCTAGTGTAGAATATATCTACTTACACTACATGATATGCAGACACAGACATACACAAATACACACACACACAAACTGTGGGGAGGTGTTTTTTCTGAAAATATAAAGATCTAACAGATAAAGGAAGCAAAAATGTTGGAAAATAGGATGAAAGTAGGTTATTAATATAAGGAACTCTAAAATAGTCATCTCTGGATTGAGATAAAATATTTATATCATCATTTCTCTGCTGTGATAAACTGGAATGGAGAAAGAGAGAGCAGGAATACAAAAATATATATGTGGATGCGTGAATTTGTGTGTGGGGGCAGTATCTATGTGTATATAATTCTATATTCTGTTTTCAGTGTTCAAGAAGACAGACAGGACAAATAGCCTTTTCTAGGCTACTTGTATTTTCTTTTTCTCTTATTAATGCTGTTTTCATTGTTCTTAGGCACTTCTCTCGTTGCTCTTGTTATCCCTGTTTCCATTGGAATGTTTGTGAATCACAAATGGCCCCAAAAAGCAAAGATCATACTTAAAGTAAGTACCCCATGCATGGGACAGGCTGCACACCTCTGTGCCCTGCCGTCAGAACTGGAATGAGATGGTCTTTACATCTCTTAAACTGTTATTCTCATTACGTATACAACTGGGAAGACTTGCCATCCACAGTCCTAAGATCATCCCTTAGAGAATGTCCTTCTTTATCCTATCTGAGGAGCAAACTTCCATCTGTATTTAAGCCATCAATTCAAGTGTCACCTATTGGTTTTACTGTGTTCTCCAATGACTGTGCTGTTATTTAGGCTGAGTTTATGTTATAAAATATATCTAGGCAGTTTTCTGAGAAGGTACAGCATATCTTTCTTATACCTAGGACTTATCTTTCATACCAAACATATCTTTCTCATACCTAGAACTCAGCGCCCCTGAACTGGTAGATACTAGCCTGTGGGATGTAAGGGAATAAGGTAGTTGGTATTTCTTGTTTTACAGGGGAAAAAAAAACACAAAATTGTCATCTTCAAATGTTTTTAAGTTTAATCAAAGAAGAAAATAGGTCTGGAGCGATGGCTCAGCTATTAGGAATGTGTACTGCTCTTGTAGAGTGCTCACAGCTGTCCAAAACTACCTGTAACTCCAGATCCAAGGACCCAAGGATGCCTTCTGGACTCTGTGGGCACTAGAACTCATGTGCACATATGTACAAGTGGACATACATGTAGTAAAATTGAACCTTTCTGAAAAGGAAAAATGATGACCATGGCTTATGTTTATCCTTATTTGAGTTTTATAAACACTTAGGATTATAACAAGCATAAAATATGACTTGGGCAAATTTTTTTATTTTGCAAGCTCAGAAATCTTCCTTGGGCCAATTAAGCATGATTATATTGTCCTGGTGTTCCCTTAGTCTCTAGAATACTGGAGAAGCTCTTCTCTTTCAACAAAAGTAAAGGGACATAAAACTCATATTAATTTTCCTAAAGGAACAGTCTTCTTATCTCTGACACCTGAAAAACATCTCTGGACTCACTTTGACACAAGTATGTTCACATAAATCTTTTCTTCCAGATTGGATCCATTGCAGGTGCAATTCTCATTGTTCTCATTGCTGTGATTGGAGGAGTACTGTACCAAAGTGCCTGGATCATTGAACCCAAACTATGGATTATAGGAACGATATATCCTATAGCTGGCTACAGCCTGGGGTTTATACTGGCTAGAATAGCTGGTCAACCCTGGTACAGGTATGAGATTTAGATAAATGTGACTGAGCATTTTTGCTTATCACAGCTGCTGCACTAGTTTTCTAGGGTGCCAATAGGAAATAACCATATGGTATAGAGAGATGACTCAATAATTAAGAACACAGGCTGCTTTTTCAGAAGACCCAAGCTTGCTTTCCAGTACCTACATGGCTGCTCACAGTCATCATAATCATCTGTAACTACAGTTCCAGGATATCCAATACCATTTTCTGACCTCTGCAAGCACCAGGCACACATGTGGTGCATAAACATATATACACACAAAACATCCATTCAAATAAAATAACTTTTAATTAAAAATAAGCAAAACTACCCCTAAGTGGATCATTTTGGCAAAAAAAAAAAGACACATTCTTACAGTTTCACAGATCAGAAATCATACTTAAGGCAGCTCAGAGCTGGCTTCTTTGGCAGTCTGTGGTTAAGGATTTATTGGGAGGCTCTCACTTTGACTTTTAATGTCTATCTTTTCTTATACTTCATCACATTTTATTTCTTCTGTGCATGATACTGAGCTCAAATTAATATCCCTTTTATAAATACGCAACAAGTCACATTAAATTACTGGCCACCCTAATGACCTCATCTTAACTAATTATATCTGCCATAACCCTGTTCCCACATAAGATTACATTCTTAGATATCAAGGGTTAGATATAGGATGGCAACATTTTAATTTGAGTGAAGGATTACGCAAACATAGAAGCTGAAAATATTGGTGCCAAATTCAAAATCCTTCATTTTCAATCACTGTTTACAATATTTAAAGAGCATCATTTGTTCATAAATTATACAAATCTCAAAAAAGTACTGGCTGCCTTCATTTTCAACTCCCTGACATTCTTCTCCACTAGTCCCCAACCTGTGAAGTAAAATTTTCCCTTTGCGATGTACTCTGATTTAATAAGCAAAGTTTCGTGAAAATAATCAATTTCGTCTTGTGATATACATATATATATATATATATATATTCCTCTAACCAGCATCAGAAGGACTCAGCACCCAAAGGTGATAGACACTAAAGATTGCTTATCATTTTTCTAAAAACATTTTTTTCCAAATGGTCCACCTAGGTCAACAAACAGGCAGAAAACTGGGTGTAGAAACAGGCATTAGTGTGCATCTGAAAGAGAAGTGAGCAAGCCTGAATAGTGTGAGACGCATTGAGCCTGGTCAAACAGACTCAGGCTTCATTCTTCCCCTGTCACTCTCTCACTGGAAGACTATTGGCCCCATGCTTACTTTAGTTTTCTTTATTGAAGATGAGAAACATTAATTTTTTACCTTTCAGATTTTTAATCAAAATGTAATCAGAACAAAATTAATTTCAAAATAAATGCCTAATGAGAAATGCTATAGCTTTAATGTTTTCTGATCCCTGATCTTTCCTCTATGCTTTCACTAAGTATGTAATTTGAGAATAGATAAAATGGACCTTCTCTGCAGTTTATGGAATGTTAAAGTAAATGAACCTATCCCCCACTTTATAAATATATTGGGACTAGAAAAAAAAAAGGTTCAGTGTTTAAAAGCATGTACTGCTTTTCTAGAGGACCTGAATTTGCATCCTAGCATCCATATTGGGAGGCTCAGAACTACCTGAAACTCTAGCTGACTATTAATCAGACCGCTGCACTAGCCTCAAGGGCACTCAGTGCCTCTGGTCACTATGTGCTCCTGCATTTACATGCACATACCTACATGCATACAAAGCATTAAAGATAAAATAAGGCTTAAAACCATATATACTATACAATAAGTTGTTTTATATATTAAAGTATTTATACAATGTAAAGTTATGTTTAAAATATACAGCAAATATGGATGCTAAAAGTAGAGAGAAAATCTAGGTATATGCTTGTAATCTAGCAATAGGAAAGCTGAAGAAAGAGGATTGCCAAAAGTTAAAGGACAACCTAACTTGGACAGCATAGAAAGACTGATCTCGAAATAAAGAAGAAAGAAAGAAAGAAAGAAAGAAAGAAAGAAAGAAAGAAAGGAAGGAAGGAAGGAAGGAAGGAAGGAAGGAAGGAAGGAAGGAAGGAAGGAAGGAAGGAAGGAAGGAAGAGGAAGGGANGAGGAAAAAAGGAAGAAAGAAAGAAAGAAAGAAAGAAAGAAAGAAAGAAAGAAAGAAAGAAAGAAAGAAAGAAAGAAAGAAAGAAGGAAGGAAAGAAGGAAAGAAAGAAGGGAGAGAGAGCAAGGGAGGAAGGGAGGGAGGAAGAAAGGAAAGGAGGGGAAAGGAGGGAGGGAAGAAGGAAGGGAGGGAGGGAGGGAAGAAAGAGAAAGGAAAACGTAACCAAGAGATAAAGAGAAAGAGGGGGGAAGGAAGGCAGGAGAAGAAAGTGGGTAAGGGGAAAAAGTAAATAAGGTAGAAAGAGATGGAGGAAAGAAAAGAAGGGATGAAGAAAGAGAGAGAGAAGAAAAAATTGCAGTCTGTGTACATGTTTTCATCATACCTTCCATTTCTGTTAGATCATAATAAGCCTAATAACAGGTAAAGCACATACATCTTTATTCTTACTCTCAGGTGCCGAACAGTTGCCTTGGAAACCGGGATGCAAAACACTCAGCTGTGTTCCACCATTGTACAGCTCTCCTTCAGCCAAGAGGACCTCAACCTTGTGTTCACCTTCCCTCTCATCTATAGTGTTTTCCAGATCGTCTTTGCTGCAATATTATTAGGAAGTAAGCAATAATGCTAATAAATTCCGCTATGATGTTCCTTTTGGATAAATCCTGGAATTGCTAAAACAAACTTTTTAAAGATTCTCTATTTCTGGCAGTTCATTGTACAAATAAATTTGAAAAAAATGCATCCACAGAAGTCAGTTATCACGACTTCATGTGTGCTGATGCAAAGACTGTAGTTTTATTATAGGTCTTAGTTAGGCTTTTTTAAAAGAAAGGCAGAGGAGAGACCCTGTCTGTTGACTTTCTCTTCCTCAGTAGTCAGAGAGACGCATATTAACCTGTGAGTAACATTTATTGTGCACCATTCTAAATGCTACCAAGGAACACAGGTTTTAATGATTTCCCCCTCAAATCCTTGTCTTGATACGCTTTTTAAATAGGTAACCAAGAAAATGACAAACCATATTTATCATCAAAAAATCAAAAGTCAAATGTTCAAGTTTGTACATGCAAATTTTAAATATTGAAATAACTAAAGAAGTGTAAATAAAGATGTAACAGAGATAGATAACCCAGCTTCAGTCTGTCATAGCATATTTCATCCTCCCTCATTTGATCCACACTAACTCTCCTCCACCAAATCGGAACTTTTCCCTACATTTGACTATACAAAGTCTGATGGTGCTTAAGCCACATTTTTAAAGTTCTATTTAAAACAAAGAAGTAAACTTATTTTTAAAGTTTCATGACATTTAATAGAAAATGCAAAGTGGAGGTACATGAAAAAGATGCTGTGAAAATTAAGTTAGAAATGCCCAGAAATAATTTCACTTATCTTTACATTATTTCTATTCCCGGATCAATATGTGTCCATGTGCCTTCAGGTGCCCATCACTGAAATGTCTCAGTGCCATTTTTCAGACAGAGGCTCCTTTCCAGTACAGGAGTCTCATATAACAGAAAACATCACATGGACACAGCAGGGGTCTGATTCTGAGGCAAGACAAATAAAGAGATGGCATGAGCTTTCTGGCCAGCCAACCTGGCCAAGCCAGTGAGTTTCAGGCCAGTGGAAATTCTCTGTCTAAATAAGCAAGATAGGTAGCACCTGAGAAGCAGCACCCAACACTTACACATATGTGGACATGGATCTGAATACATGCATGGACCAGCAGGCACATGAGCAACATATACACAAACAAGTGCACACACATTCACAAACACACCCAAAGAAAGAAAGAAAAAAGTGCTGAGAAATACTTGTACCACAGAAGAAAGGAAGTCTGATCAACAACAAAAAAAATAGTGAAAACAAAAGACTAAGCATGTTGTTCTGACCCAACAATTTTTATAAGGGATAGCCAGACCAAGGTCCTGGGCATCTCACACAGATATAGAGAATATTTAGTTGAAGACTATTAAATTAACTGGGGTGGGATAAACACAAAGTGAATGATTTTTGCTTGCTGTTAAGTACTTGAAGCCATGAGAAGGGCATACACGTTTGCTGAGCAAACATCCTCTGAAGCTCTCCACCCAGACTTATTGAGTGCAGTCTTTGCAACCATATGTGTGATCCTAAAACTAAAATAATGATACTTGGTTTCTCATAACATCTCCATCCTGTAAAAAAAAAAATGCAAAAAGCTTTCTGAGCTGCATTAGTCAATCACTAGCCAAAGTAATTTTTCAAGGTGTCATTCTGGAATTTACTTGACTTCTCATATATTGTTTTTTGCAGTTTATGTCGCATACAAGAAATGTTATGGAAAAAATAATCCTGAGTTACAAGAGAAAACAGACAATGAAGTGGAGCCCAAGGCATCATTTCAGGAGACAAACAAAGGATTTCAACCAGATGAGAAATAAACTCTAAGGGGACAAAAAAGAAAGCTCACTAACAACATTCTTCAAACTACAGCTATAATTATTTCCTTTGGTGGAATCACCAGCAAAAAAAAAATGCTGAAAGTTAAATTGAAATTGAAATTTGTTATTGTTCTTGGTACAAAGTGACTAGCAATCCATTCTTTAATGTGGCAAACATCCCTATACGTGTGTGTGTGTGTGTGTGTGAATTATTTTTCAGTATCCATAGAAGACTGTTCACAATGTATCCCTTGATACTAAATTCACAGAATCTTAGGCTCCTTTCATAAAATGACAAAATGTTTGTATTCATCTCTCAAATACTTCAGAGCAATACTAACTTACTTAAATTATTTAACATGATGTAAATGCATGTAAATATTTGTTTTACTGGATTGTTTCGGAAATGATGACTTTTAAAAAGTCTGTAAATTTTATGTTCAATACAGACATCATTTTTCCTGATATTTTTTATAAAAGTGAGTTATAAACATAGTTGTCAAATTTATCCTCAGGAGGGTAAATGCATTTGCATAGAATGTATAGATAGACACCAGCTAGCTAGCTGACTAGAAGGAAGATAGATAGATAGATAGATAGATAGATAGATAGATGATAGATAGATAGATAGATAGATAGATAGATAGATAGATGATAGATAGATGATAGATAGATAGATAGATAGATAGATAGATAGATAGATAGATAGATAGATAGATAGATGATAGATAGATAGGTATGTGACCAATAATCATTAATATGTTATCAAAAACATCTATAGACCTAACTGTATATAAATCATACTTAAAACCTTGGCAAAGTAAGCTGAATTCAGGGACAAGGACTTCTTTTATGTGTTAAAATATAACAGATTATTGCTATAAAATGTTTATTTTCTTCAATATTTATGATTGTAAAATGATTTATGTGAATGAGTGTATTCCTCTGACATTTTAATCATCAATTTGAGATTTTGCAACCTATTTGTCTGTCATGTTTACTCTGAAAAATACCTTTGTATTTAAAAAAAAAGTACCTTCTTTCAATGGCATTCCAGAAGCAGAAGCGAGAGAAAATGTTACCAAAGAATTAAATAACAAATTAAAATTGGGTAACACATAAAGGATATTTTATATCTGTTCATATACTTCTAGGGCCTACTGATGACCATTTTATCTTTCAAGGGAAAAGGGCCATTTGGAATAGTTTGTATTTGGCAACTAGTTTTTAAAACTCTAAAGAGGTTTATTAAAGGATTACCGGTATGAAGCCAATTCAAATCAAACCATGTCTCAGAAACCAAACTAAAGAAGCCTGCCATTGACCACCCCACATACACATGCATATGGAGATCATTTTTTACATCGAAAGACAGATGCAATATGTTGGACTAGAACGGTCCTAAGGCATTGATTGGGAGAGGAGAGGACAATGGATCTTCTTTTGGGGAATGTCAAGAAATTACCTTCAAGAATGTGAATGGAAGTCTAGCTGCTAAGTACCTTCTACACTCTCCTCATCAAGCAGGAAAGAGACAGGTGCGCTAAAGACACCCTGTGAATTTCTATCAAGTTTTCAACACAACCAAAGTCAAGGTCCTGAATATCAGCAGCTGCAACAGCAGGTTTTTCCTTTCCGTTGATTAAGGAATGTGAGTGACATAGATATTTACTTTCTTATAAGATTTGATACCTGTGAGTTTATTTTTTCCTAATATTTTATAAAGAAAAACACCTAAGTTTTCTAAAATGAAATGTCTCTATTTTGAAATGAATGTGAAAAATTGATTAAATCACATGTATATTGCCTCTGTTTCATATAAGATGGGTATTTTATTTTAAAGGTGTGAATAAATGAGAAAGATTTTTGTAATATCTAGTTAGTGGAGTCTCTGTGAATACTGTCAATACGTCCTCATCGCACAATCCTATTGATATAAATAAGAGAACTTAAATTATTCTTTGAAAAGTGACTGAGAGAGAAACTCTTAATTAAATACACTAATAATTGGGTCTCCCACTGACAATAATTGAGGCTTTTTCCCCTAAGAAAATCATGTAGAGAAACATTAATCAAAGATTCTCAAAAGTTATGTGACACAGACACTGAGAGAAACAATTACTAACTGGGACCTCCTGAAACTGAAAAGCTTCTGTAAAGCAAAGAACATGGCAAACAAGATGAAAAAAACAGCCTACAGGATGGGGAAAGA